TACTGATGAAACTCCACCCCGAAACCACGGATGATCTCACCCAGTGGCTTCATATAAATGTTGAACAGGAGAGGCGAGAGGACCGACCCCTGTGGTACCCCACAAGTGAGGCACCTCGAGGTCGACCTCTGCCCCCCTGCCAACACAAATTGCGACCGGTCCGAGAGGTAGGAGGAGAACCACCGTAAAACGGTGCCCCGTTGCAACCCCATCGGCATGGGCGGAGATGGCCCGGAAAGGCCGTAAAGCAGCCCTCACCTGGTGCGGGCCCTGTCTACATGGTGGCTTTGACAGGGGCGGCTGCTGCTGCTGCTCCTAGCCCCTTGACTGGCCAACCACACAGGGAAGGCAGGAGGCGGCAGCGGTGATCCCTGCATTGCCAAGCCCAGCCGGCAGCAGATCTGGAAGCGAAGCTGTGCTGCCCATACTCGGGCTGGTGGAGGCAGCAGCTGGGGAAGGTGAGCTGTGCTACATGCCCACCCCTCCCCGCTGCCACCCCACATCGTCCCGCACGCATGTCCTGGAGGTGCACGCAGGATGATGTGGGGCAGCAACGGCAAAGGGTGGATGCATGCCAAATCCCGCCTTCCCCCACTGCCGCCGCCCCCACCAGCGCGAGGATGGTCGGCACAGCTTCGCTTCCAGATCTGCTGCCTGACACCATCGGCCCCTGTACACAGAGGCCAGCGAGCACATAGGGGCTGATGGTGTCCATCAGAAGCCACAGCATGCTGGCTGTCCTGCATAATGGCGAACTGGCCATGGAGCCTCATCGGTGTGGGTGGAGATGGCCCTGGGATGGCTGGAAGGAAGCCCTTGCCCGGCCTGGGCCCATCCACTCGACTGCTATGATGGGGTGGCTTCTGCTGCTGCTCCGATCGGTTAACCATGCAGGGAAGCAGGAGGTGGAGGGGCAGCCAGGGGTCTGGAGGCACCTTGGCTGCTCGCTAGCAGCCTAACGAGGCAGCAGATCTCGCGCACCAACTGCCCCTCCTGCTTCCCTGCATGGTTGACCAGTCGAAACAGCAGCAGAAGCCGCCCCTCTCAGAGCCATCGAGTGGATGGGCCACGCTTCCTTCCGGCCGTCCAGGGGCCATCTCCACCCGCGCCGATGGGGCTCCCGCTATAGGTATTTCTTCTGGAAATTCCAATAAATTAATTCTGAGACTGTGTGAAGAATTTCAATCCAACTTGTTCTTCAGTACAGCAGAAACTAAAGGGTTATTTAAAAGAATTTTTCACGTTGAACATGAATAAAGGCACCCCTATATCGACGGTCTGGGATGCAAGCAAAG